ATATGGGAGACCTGACTGCCAGTGAGGACAGAGGTAAAACCTTGTTCAGTACTCAGCTTTTTTTATTCAGTACCTCAGCTTTTTTTGTATCTGTTTTTGCCAGCAGAAAACTTCCTGTGCTTTCAGCTGATGTCAGGAATTGACCTGTTTTTTCCAGGACCCATACAGTACACATTCAGTCTGAGTTGTCTCTGACTTGTTCGGTGTTGTAGGAGGGATTTTGCTCCCTACTCCTCACCTAAAGATTCGGGGATGTGAGAGGCACAAGAAGCCTGGCTACCAGGAAACACTGAGGCGAATAACTTGTTTACTACCTCAGACCTCGCTATGTTGGTTGAAGTCAGTTCTCTCTTCTCATTGATCTGATGAGCTACACTCTCCTTGGCCTTTTTCATCTCACCAGTGTACCTGTAGAATCATTCCTGATCTCCTCTCTGCACATCCAGAGAGCATCCCTGCATCATCGCTAGGCTGCATGCCTCCTGCTTCCTCTGCCTATACATTTCCTTGCTTTCCTTCCTTCAGTTTGTCCAGCAGATACTTGTTCAGTTATGACAGTTTCTTCCCTCTGCATATTTTCTTATACTGAGGGATGGAGAGCTCTTATCCTCTCTGAAAGGTACCCTTACAGAGCTGCCAGCTCTGTTCCTATTTCCCTAGGGACAGTTTCCTGAGGGATCTTATCCAGCAATTCCTTAAGCAGCCAGTTGACGTTACTGAAGTGTAGGGTCCCCACCTGCTCTTTGCCAGCCCCATATTCCCTGAGGTCATGAACGCCACTGAGGCATGGTCACTACAGCCCATCCACGCAGTCATTCATCTGATGTGTTTTCCTCTTTCTTCCCAGGTCTCAGTCTCTAGCTGGGAGGAAAGAGGCAAAAAAAGGATGCCATCAGCCTGCTGGAGCTACTTCAGGAGAAGTGTTGACTGAAGGTTGAGGGATGTGACCCTCTATGCCCCGATTTCAGCATGCCTGGAGTGCTAGTTCCCTTCCTGAGCCTCTATTAGGAAGACATGGACTTGCTGGAGTACAGAGAAGGTCCACAAAGTTGATTGCTGGAAGGCCTTAAGTATCTATCCTATGTGGAGAAGCTAAGAAAGCTGTGATTCATTTAGCTTGCAGAAGATTAGACTCAGGTGTATAAATACCTGCAAAGTAAAGAGGATGCAGATAGTCTCTTCTGTGCAGTGCTCAGTGAAAGGACAAGCAGCAACAGGCAAAAATGAAAATACACAAAATTCACTTGAATGTAAGAAAAGAAGCATTTTTACTCTCAGGGTAAATTCACACTGGAATAGGCTGAGAGATTGTATATAGACTCCATTATTGCAGATACACAATCCCAATAGAACATGACCCTCAGTAATTTTAGTTGACCATGTTCTGAGCACGTGGCTTGAACTAGCTGATCTCCAGAGGTGCCTTCCAAGCCCAACTGTCCTTTATTTACTTTGTACAGAAATAAAAACTCTTTTCCAGCAGAGAAGAGGGTTCCCATAATTATGCATCAAACTTAACTAACAGTAAAACTTTACTGAATTTCCAAATGTTTGTGGGAGAAAAGGAGAGCTGAAAAGCCCTTCTTTGCTACTGCTGCAGTGTTAATTGTTTACAGTATGTGATAATACAGTCAGCTCAATAAACGCTTTGCTGAGAACAGCATGCAAACACATACTCAAAGAGTTTGTGTTAAAAACTGAAGAACTTCCTATTTGGAAATCATGTAATTCACAATCTCTTTCTAGAGATAAGTTGCTTGTCAGGAAAATAAATTAATTTTATTTTTAGACCTACCAGAAGGCAGATCTGTAATCAATTATTTCTTGTGAAATCCTTCTCCAGGATTTTTGGAAAATCCTGGAGAATATTCTAATCCGGCCAAAAACAGACTTCCCTCTAAGGAAAACTTGTTTGTTCCCACAGAAAAATATAGTTGACAGAATTGAGGTTCCTTAACTGGAAGCAGTCCTTCTGACATCCCAATTCTGAACCATGCATAGCTTTGAAAATAAGACTCAAGATCTCAAACTTTGTAACTTCTGAAGCAAGAGAATGAAAGCAAAAGGTATAAACCAGTCATAGATTCTCTTTTGGCACCTACTTTTACCAAATTGCATTGTCATCTTTACACAAGCATGATTTTTTTAGTGTCCCCCAAAAATGGAAAGAAATGCTGTGATAGGATCATTTGTAAACTACTAATGGGAGATCTTGCCAGCTGGATTTCTTCTATTTGCTTAGAATTTATCACAAACTCCAATTTATCATGTGCCTGGAAAAGCAATGTGGGATTATTTAACTAATAATAATCCAGTTTATTACTCAACTTCTTTACAATATGTGAAAGAGGAGCTTCCCATTACAAATGAGACATCAAGCATCCAAACAACACATATTTCAAAGTCTCTTCAAAGCACATGGGTTTATGAAAAAGTCTGTAACTTTCAGCTGGTCAGTATTTTAACAGATTGAATAGGCCCTCCTTTCAGTGAAAGTATACAAATCAGTTTATGTGAGAAATCATAGCTTGCTAGATTATTCCTATTAACTACAACCAGTTTGCCATAGCTGTGACCTCTATACAATCTTAATGCTTGGAGCACCTGAAGTAACTAGAGGAGATCAGTCCTAGTGAAAGCCAGATACGGATTTCAGAAAGAAAAACAGATTTCATAAATAAATCACTTCTCTGTATCTAGATACACAATATCACATGTATTGGCAATGACAGGGAAGGGACAAGTATGTAGCAAATTTTCTTCAGTAAGTTGAGATAATATAGCACTGTCTTCCTGAAACTACAGAGTACCACGAGGATATATTTTAAAAATGAAACACACAAACACTTCTATATGCAGTGCTGAAAAAAACTGCTCAATCTATTATGGAATATTTCATTTTTTGTGCAAACAAAATAACAGATACTTGATGTTATTACCATCAGGGAAGAATACAGTACTTGCAGCACCTTTACCAAGACTGGTCTCTGCCAGGAAGCAGGAGAGCCAGCAAAACCTCTATCTTCAGTGTTCAAGATTAAATTCATCAGCATAAAGAAAAGGAGTGTTTTTCTGTATCAGATAACTTTTATTGCAATAGTTTAGTTTTGGAGAATTTATTATTTGTTTTTGCACGGCTGTGTATTAGCACACATGCATATCATGACTGACAGCAATGGACTTGTACAAGAGGCTACCTGAAAACCTGGAAGTCTTTGATTAAAGTTCTTTTGTCAGGTGTTTGAGATTTATATCAGCCTTCCTGGTACCTGAGAACAAGGGCATCTGGAAGAGTTTGATCATCACAAATCGTATATTATCTACACTAGTATTGTTTTCCAGAAAAAATGAAATTTCAGTAGTCAGGGCTCTAAAATCAAATCCCGTCTTTGACATATTAGAAGAAACTACAAATTCCATAATGCATAATATTATTTTTCTAATGTATCACTGGTCCATAACAAGAAACAATCTATTATATAGATTTTGCATTCAATCTTTTTGTCAAAAACTACACAGTACATCAAAAGTTAATAACATTGGGGAGTTCAGTGATTAATATGGAAACAAGTGGTATATTACAAATTTTCTTTTGTTCCTCATTCACAGTGACGAAACTGCTAGGATTTAACCTTTAAGGGTTAAAGAGTTTAATCAATGTCAATGTCTGATCTTCTGAAGGCGATAAAGAACAGTCTGTCTAGCGATACCCAACAGAACATCACTTTGTCAAGCCACAAAGCGCCCAATAGCTTGTCAAGTAAGTTACCAGAAACCTCTTTGTGGTTAGAACTCAGCTCCTTCCTGCTTGACCTATTATTTGATATTTGACCACTTGGTTGCAAGACACTTGCTCTTTCCAGCTGAAATGTCACTGGGGCATCTTGTCAGCTCCCCGACATCTCGGCCTGACATACAATTTTACTTTTGTGTGCTACAAGGCAGAAAATGCAGGGCAATGGCCTTGCTTTAAATTCTGTCAGCATCAAAGATGGGCGTCACTCTTGGGTCCTACCAACAACAACAAAAAAAGGAGTCTATTTGAAGGTCAAAACAGCCATTACTTTAAAGTCTTTCAGCTTAAACTAAATATATTACCTGCAACATTGGTTTGGGAACTGTCCTTATAAAGTACATAAACATATCATCAGAAATCCTCCCTGCACAATTGTTCTTCTTTCTTATGAAATGCAGACTTGATAAAAGGGTGAGTTTTCAATGCCTGCAGGGACCAGATTCAGCAGTTAACTTAACTTGTTCAAATAGGCAAGTGGTATCATGTAGCTTTACAAGGAGCAACCTGACCTTCTCACATTGACCAGCAGTGACATTATTGTGCAGGAAGAGAAGCAGTCACATCATTTCTGTTTTGCACAACCTGCTTAAAGTTTGCAACTAAATGCTTGTCTTCAGTTGAGCTGACAAGAGAAAAGAGGGGGCTCAGTGAACCATGGCAGGGCTGCCATGAAATGACAGGAATCATTGGCATACATTTCAAATAGCTCTCTCAATCCTATTAAAGTATTGCAGTCCTGCTTTAAAATAGACAAGTATGAAACAACTTTGATAGATAGAGACTAAAATGGCTTATTGATTTTTTTTTTAAGACTGAGGAAAATTACCCAAAATGTGTCATTCTTTAACATTTAAAAATATATTACATAAAGAAAGAGCAACCACAATAAATAGAAGTTTAAAAAATAGCTGTTTTGGTATGCAAAGAACTGGAAACACAGAAATGTGAACATGTAAATGCACATTTTTCATAACACCGTAAAATTAATGTCAAAAAATACAAACACTGAACTACAATCGAAAGGTAGCAACAAAATTGCACTTTAATTGCATCATTTTACATTAATGCAATTTTTTTTCCTTCTTGAAGATTATTGATACAAAATCCATTTTCCATTGTTCTTTTGGGACTGTATGTGACATTCAGGGTGAAGGAATAGACTGAAGACTGAGAATTGGCTCTATTGTGCATAAAACTGTTGTAGGATGTGTCAAGATCAGCTTTCAATGCCAAAAAATCTGGGATTCAACGCTGGTCAGGCTGAATTCCTAGCTTGAAGTCATGGTGATGTTTGAACTCCCTCTTGATTCCTGAAGTAAAATGAAGTGATATAAAAAATAATATCCTGAGAGATTCTACACTCAATGTTAAGCAAGAAAGAAAAATAGTATATATATTGATGCACCTTTTAGTATTATACCCTTTACAAACAGATGTATATGAAGTATCTGCAAGTGTCCATTTTTTGTTTCAAACATTTATTTAAAGTACGTGATACCCGAATATATATGTATGCATATATAAACCTGTAATAAGCAGAAACAAAGCAGAAACGCACCAATTGTGCAACAGTAAGTACAATATAAGTGTTATAAAACTATAGCCCATATTATTTGAAGCGTTTAAAATATTCACAGAAAACATTTACTCCTCTTCATCATCATTCCTAAGTTCTGATTTTCTTAAGCAGGTAAAGAAACTTATCTTTCTCACTGTTATTGGGAAAAATGTGCTTTGTTACCAGTGGAAGTTACTAAATCAGTTTAAAATATATTTTGCCGTAAATTGAAATCAAACACTTCATATTCTTTGAGCATTAGCTTGTTAGAAGATTGTTGAGAATATACACTGAGTGTACCTTGCCGGGAAACACAGCTCATCTTTCAGTGAATCAGACATTCAGTCAAACAGTTACAAAGGTTAGACCATCTAAAATTCAACATTAAATAACTTGCAGAACCAAAACATTGTGCATTCTACTTTGAAAGATTATGAATACCAGTATATTGACATTAATATAAACACTAAATAGAGACACCGCACATTTATTTAAATATCTATTAAAAATACAAAATGCAATGTCATATTACTTTTCTGCCCTTTATCAAGGTATTTTAGCCAACATTCTACATAGCTGTGAAAAGTATAAACAATCATTTCACTATGCCAGAACGTATGGGAAAACTTCACATCCAAAGCATAACTATGGATAAGACAAAAAGTAAGGCTGTTACAGTATATCCTCTCTTATTTTTTAAACACTCTCTTCTCAGCATTTGAGAAGGAGTGTATGTGTATTCACATACACAAATACAAATGAGGAAAAAATGCACATATCTACAGGCACCCAGGTTCAACTACACAGACTCACAGATATACAGACAGAGGCAGCAGGGTGTATGTATATTCATATTTCAACTAATCCAGACTTAATCATATGTATACAGACATGTTCATGAAAGATCCCCCTTTCCTCTCTTACTATTGCTGGAGAAAAATCAATGGTTGCTTCTAACACCTATTTCAACAGTTCTCTTTGATATGGACTCTTTTGATTTCCTGGCTCATCACAAGCCATACTGCAGACCCTGTAAACAGCTGGGTTATGCTACAGCTTCATTAAGAACACATGCAGTAGCCAATTTAGATGACTGATCCAAGGAGATGATTAAAATGAGGTAGTGCCTTTAGTTTTTCTAAACTACGGTGGTTATGAGGATGAGATAACCAGAGTGATCTGTAACACACTGCCTATTCAGTCCTGCTCAATACTATGCAGAATGGGAACCACTACAGAGCAAAAGCACAAAGAAGCCTCACTTTGCGTTTGTAGCAGCATATCTGAAATGAGATCTCAATGTAGGTATCCACCTCTTACACTGATTAATAGATAGTTATTTGTATGCTTTAATTAGCTGACATAAATTCTCTCTCTCTAAAAAAAAAAAAAGGTCATTCATAAGAAAATATGAACAAGATACTGAAGTATGCGAATGAACTGTGAGATTCTAGAAATACTTCTGTGTGTAGGCAAATGAAGTCACTAAGACATAAGTTATTAACAGGTTTCACTCAGGATAATAAATACTGAAGATAAATATAAACATAGAAATTTGTACTTCTTTCATTATCTTAATTTATCAGCATATCTTAGTGACTAAAATTGCATGCTACTATTGCTACCTCATAATATTCTTTTTTTGGATATAGTGATGTTACTTTTCGAGGAACATGGCATCAAAATCCCAGTAAAAAGAAATGAGATTTCCTTTGAGAATAGCAGAAAAAAGTATGAAACTTAATGATTGGCAGCAAGTCAATAGACTATGTTACAGTAAAAGCTTCACTGTTGGGGGAAAAAAGCTCTGCTTTAGTTATCCAGATCCTGTGCTGTACTTCTTGCAAGGAACAGAATACTATTCATTGAGTAGAAGGGAAATCAGATCGAATAACGACATGACTGATGTAAAAAAAATCTTGGCCGTTTCTCATAAGAACTGTTTTGATGCAATATCATTATATAAACTCATGAAGAATAAGAAAACCATGTTCTTTAGGTTAGCAGAGGAAAAAAAGTAGAACTGTTATAATACACGTTGTTTGAACACATACCTACACAACAGAATTTTTAAAGGTAGTTATAATTTTCCAACAAAGCCCTTTGAACATCATTTTGTTTAGAGACCTTTCTAAAATATGTATTAAACTGACCAACTCAGATGACTGTGCCAGGGCTGTGATGATTATTCATCATATGAATACGTATTCAGGTGATTTTTAAAAGAGGAATTACACATCTTAAATAAGATGCAGGTATTATTAAATAAGATGTCCGGTATATCTTTAACACATCATTTTTATTTTCCTGATAAGCCATAAATGATTCCATCTAAACTGTTGCACTTCATCAGGTAAACAAGTATTTAGGACACAGCGGGTCTAGCAAGAATAGGCTTTCAAAATGTTTATGAAATACAGTAATTGGTCATGCTCTAGAGTCATTTTTCAAAATCTGATAACCTAATTTTATAAAAAACATTTTCCCAAAAGCAAAGAAAATATGAAAGATTAGTCTATACTATGAAATAGTTGCTTCTTGCACTGTAGTTAATTTAAGCAATTTTTTTATTGTTAGACACGGAAATAAGACTTCTGAAACAACTGTTCTTTACTGTTCTTTTGTGACTAACCTATGATCACATTTGTGACCTAGTTAAGTGGTTGCTGTTTCACAAAAGTTAAAACTGACTCATAATGGGTTGCTTTATAATGAATGACATTGGGAGAGAATATTAAAATACCATCAGTGTTACGTTGGTATGTATGTACCAGTCTATTCAAAAGCATCATGTTGGGATCAAAAACACCCTATTTTGCTTATATGTATCAACACTTGTGAAATAATACACACAGTCAGATGCTTGGAAGTAGAAAACTGTGCATCTGTTTTGTCAGTGGTGCAAACAAATAACTACATAAAGAATTACACTGTCAGAAATATATTGTTTATCTTCAACAACAGGAGTAAGATCTATAACCAGAATAGAAGCCACAGATCAGTCAGAACGGTTTTAGCCTTCAAAGTCAACACAAAGATAATTTTACTGGACCACAATCTTCACAATAATACCACAACTTTCCAATTGCTTTCCATTATTTGTATGCTAAACAACTCCTTCCATTTCAGCAATTTCCCACCACTAATTTCAGTCACTTTAAACTTCTTTCAAATATTCAATTACAAAACACAGTAGCACAAATTTCCCTTCTCCCCTTTTGTAACATACATAAAACTATAATATATATATATATATATATATAAAAATAGTAAACGTAGTAACATGCTTTGTGAGTTAAGGCTTCTGGACTGTGAAAGACAAACTTGCACGTATTATTTTGACTGAGGTAAGGAAGTAATGAAGCCACTTAGAGCAGAAAATGACCAAGAATGGTATGTAATGAAAGGGCAGAAAGAATACTGAAGTTGCAGTGTAATACAACGACTCAGCTAGAGAGGTTCTCCGTAACTCATTCTTTTCTCACATGGCAAATTAAGGATGACAAATTAAGAATTACAAAGCCGAAGTGTTATACTGGAAGTCACCACACTACAAGCTACCTAGATAGTGAGGATGGCTGGCAGAAAATAGAAGTGCCGAGGGAAAAGAAAGCTGTAGTTTCTCCCAATCTCTAAAATGGCTGTAGCACAGCCACTCAAGTAGAAAGGAATGTGAGTTAAGCACAGAAACTGAGAGCAAGGGGAAAAGTGGGAAATAATATATTCCTTCACAGTTGATTTCTGGTACTGATTCCTTCCTTTCTCTCTCCCTCACCCCAAATCTAGAACATACACACATGTAGGCACCAACCAAATGGACAATAATATTTTTCCTTCTTCTTCCATGTATGCTATCACTGTGTTCCTTCACTTCACCACAGTGATATCTATCTCAGTAACTGTTAAAAAACTAGCACTGCCTATGATTCCATTTTGCTGCACTTATGTGGAAAACCTATTTCCCTGTAAAAAATTTTTCACGTCACTCACAATCTTCTTCTCAGACTGCAAGTACCAGAACTGAGTTGGGTTCTGCCACACAATACCAAGGGACATCAGCATGCTGCTGATTCACTTGCTGTTAGAAGCAGCTCAAACAGCCATTTCTCACTTGAAGTGAAACAAATAAAACATCAGTCTGATGAAAATGCTAAAACAGCTGCTTAAAATGGAAAGTATTACTATTGACATTGCTAGTTAACAAACTTCTTCAAAGCAAGAATGTATGCTGGCCAAAACTAGAAAGTTTGCTTCCTGAGTCAATAACTTTGCAATTCTGTATTCTGAGACTGTAAGACTAAATTTCTGCTCTGACACAAAGTAGGAAAATTGTAACATTCAGTATAAATTTTAATTGTCAGCACTCCTGCCTGGATTCTGGAAACAATTTACTATCGGAGAATAATTCCATGGACTGCCAACTCATTACATATTAAGTCAGAAAGGTAGACACACAACATACTTTCTTCCTTGGATGAGCCTAGCCAACAATACTAAAGGCTTTTTTCATTTTCAAAGAATTCCCTCTTCAACTTTCAGGAGTTATTAAACAAACATGATTATAAAATATCTGGAAATCATTTTTTTTCTGCTTCTGTAATGCTTTTGTATTTAATGCATTCAGTGAAATCACACTCTTGAGGCTCAATTAAAAGCAATTAAAGGAAGATTTCATAATATTTTGCTTGTTTTCTAAAAGAAAATCTTGTTATATTCAAACATACTTAAATCTGTTCCATTTGAAGAATTAAA